GAGACTTTGATATATAGAGAGTTTGATATAGAGACTTTGACAGAGAGACTTTGATATAGAGACTTTGACATAGAGACTTTGATGTAGAGACTTTGATATATAGAGAGTTTGATATAGAGACTTTGATATAGAGACTTCGACCGACACTGGGCCCGGCATGGCCAGGTGGTTAGGGTGCTCGACTCGCAATCTGTGGGTCGCGGGTTTGAATCCCTGTCACACCAAACATGCTCGCCCTTTCAGCCGTGGGGGCATTATAATGTGACGTTCAATCCCACTCTTTGTTGGTAAAAGAGTAGCCCAAGAGTTGGCGGTGGGTGGTGATGACTAGCTGCCTTCCCTTTAGTCTTACACTGCAAAATTAGGGACGGCTAGCGCAGATAGCCCTCGTGTAGCTTTGCGCGAAATCCATAACAAATTCGACCGAAACTAGTTTCGACAATTTCACGTGCTCTCCTCAGACCAGTGGTGTCTCACATTGAAAGAGAGGCTCATTCCAGCACGTAGCCTATGTGGTGAAATTTGATCCCATATTTCTTGTAGAATGCACGTGTTGAGAAAACAGTTTAGTTTGAAATGACCCTCAGAAATGTTGATGGGTCGATATGCTATTAATTACACAGCTTTCAATTTCATGCTTTCTATAAACGTTAACATAAACATAATTAAAATGTGTACGTGCAAAATTTTGTACTATCAATAATCACAGTATAAAAACGTTTTTGGTTTTATTTGCTGCCGTTTGGAAGTATTACTATGCAGAAAGACATTAATGTAAGGCCAGACTTTTCATCTCTTGATACCACTCTTTCCTGGAATGAACCGTGGGCTCCCTACTGTGATATGTGTGAGTCATCTAGCATCATGTTAAAATAGATTCAGTACAGATTTAGTCAAGAGATTTATACCTGAATAAGTAAATCGAAACGATATACAGAAAAATCATAGAAGATGTGAAACCCTATTGGATGTTATGATAAAACATGAAATGTTAAGTGTTGTTATTTATTTTTTTTTCGCTTAGTTTATTTTAATAGAAAAATTAGTTTTTGAAAATTTTACATAGATGGTTGGATTTGTTTTACAGTATATAACTCGTTTAGAAAATCCATTGGAGAAAGCATAATATCACTATATTTAGTTGGATCAAATTGTTCATATATAGTTTAACAGCTTATGGATAAAAGTAGATGTAAGAATGGAAAACTTAGCCACATATGTCATAATAAATATAATGAAGACATAGTGCTTATTTTCCGCTTTGACAATAGTGTATTACTTTTATACATGAATTAGACAAAGCTTTACCTAGAGTTTGCATGCTTTAAGTTAACATGAAAACAATCATTTTCTGAACTAATTAATTGTGAAATAGTATATGGATAGTATATTACAGTTAGTTAATATGATGTATGCGATATATGTGTATCTGAAGCTTAGACTTTGAATGTTTAACGTTAACGCGAACAACAATCTCTATGTAGATTGTAAGTTAAATTAATATATGTATAATCGCATGAGTAAATCATGAATTATGCTATACAAATAGTAAAACTGTAACACATAAAATATTCATTCTTAACCAATCAAACACTTCGTATGTTATTACAAATTGAATATACAGTCCTTGGCGTAGATTGTAAGTTAAATTCATATATTGATATTCATGTGTGTAAACCATGAAGTAAGCTATAAATAATACAACATACGTGAAGCAACTTGTCTAAAGTTCCTAGAATGTGCTATAAACTTTAAATTAACTTTAGAAAAACCATTGGCAAAGCATTATATCAGTGTAAGTATATTTAATTGGAGCAAAAAGTTCACATAGTGTATTAGTTGTGGATAAAAGCAGATGAAAACAGGGCTAAATAGGTCATGATAAATTTAATGCAGATGTAAGAATGAAAACAGGGCTAAATAGGTCACAATAAATTCAATGCAGACGTAAGAAGGAAAACAGTGCTAAATAGGTCATGATAAATTTAATGCAGATGTAAGAAGGAAAAGAGTGCTAAATAGGTCACAATAAATTTAATGCAGACGTAAGAATGAAAACAGTGCTAAATAGGTCATGATAAATTTAATGCAGATGTAAGAATGAAAACAGGGCTAAATAGGTCACAATAAATTCAATGCGGACGTAAGAAGGAAAACAGTGCTAAATAGGTCATGATCTCTTTTCCTTCATACATCTGCATTAAATTTATCATGACCTATTTAGCACTGTTTTCATTCTTACGTCTGCATTAAATTTATTGTGACCTATTTAGCACTCTTTTCCTTCTTACATCTGCATTAAATTTGGCTAAATAGGTCACAACAAATTTAATGCAGACGTAAGAATGAAAACAGTGCTAAATAGGTCATGATAAATTTAATGCAGATGTATGAAGGAAAAGAGGGCTAAATAGATCACAACAAATTTAATGCAGACATAAGAATGAAAACAGGGCTAAATAGGTCATGATAAATTTAATTCATTTAACCCTAATGATAACGCAGAAACTAATATCGTGTTAAAAACTATAGAGATATTGAATAGCCTGACACAACTTGAAATTAGTGCATGATCATACCATCTGGTAATTCCCTCACGAACCGCATAACAAACATCTGCATGCTCCTCATAGATAATCTGAATGCGCTCTGAAACTTGGAACTATCAGCCCCTAGTGATAAATTTGGAATTATCCACCCCTAGTGGTATACTTTGAAACAATCAACCCTCTAATAGTACATCATAGAACTATCCGCCCTCTGCGCATTTTATAAAACTATGACGTCACGTGGCCTCTCGGTCCCAAAAAGATAACCCTGTCACTCTATGTACTTTTCCCCCCTTTCATGCCTTTAGGCACCGGCATCCTTTGGGCTGAGGTTAGGACAATTAACTTTTCACAGTAAAGTACAGCATACAGTTATTACACTACAAGAACAATGGGGAAAATATGTGCGTGCCTTATTACTCCCGCCATATTGTTTTCACTCCTCCACGTGTGTGTGTGTGTGTGTGTGTGTAGATGAACGGTATACCTCGAATATTTTTCATCTCATTTTGATCAAAGGATGAGTGTTCTCCTAGGGAGTGTAGCTTAGAGATCAAAGTCACATTGAAGTGTGTGTGTGTTTTCGGCTATCTACTGTATCCACTGAGGTGAGTCGAACCCCTGATTGTATCGTTGCAAATCCGAAGACTTACCGTTGTCCCACCAGGGGACCACATGGAAGTTTGTTTTTTTTTTGTTGTTGTTGTTTACTTGTTTGGAATTAAGCACAAAGCTACAAAATGGGCTATCTGTGCTCTGCCCACCACGGGTATCGAAACCCGGTTTCTAGCGTTGTAAGTCCGCAGACATACCGCTGTGCCACTGGGGGGCGT